GGGGGGGGGGGGGGGGGGGGAGGGGTTCGAACCGGTAGTGACCCCCCCCGGTTTTCCGCCAGCAGCGGTAGAACACGCTCTTTCCTATATTCGAGATGCTCACACCACTCCGCCGCCTCCTCAAGAGGACATGTGCGGCTTCAAATCTCGTGCATGTAAATGCGTTGTTTGCCACTTCCCGTCTTGCTGACTGCGTGCAGTTGTCACTGACTCGTCCTCCTCTTGCTCCGTATCTGTTGCGTTGGGGGCCTCTTGGGGACCTAGGGGGCGGCCTGTAGGAGCTTTTTCAAAGCTCTGGGTTTTTTGGGGAAGTCCTCGGGGGGCCTCTTGGGGTCATGTTTGGGGTCTTTGGCGGCATTTTGTGGGGAAGGGCTCCTGTGGACTTGGCGGGTTCCCCCTCTTGCGCCTCTCTTGGGGCATCTTGAGATTTGTGTTGCTGTCTTGGGGGCATATTGGGTAGTCTCTGGGCACTATTGGGGCCGTCTTGGGCCAATCCAGGGGGCCTCTCGCGCCGTTTTGGGCGTGCCGGCAACCGCAGAGGCGAGCACGCGAATATCATTCGAAGACGTGACGTGTGCAAATTCAAGGAGTTCTGTATATTGCGGCCCTCTTGGGGATCCTCTTGCGGCCCTCTTTCGGCATCTTGGGCCACCTTAAGGTCATTCTGAGCGCTCTTGAGGCCATCTGGGCGTCTTGGTGTCCGTTTTGCGCAGTATTCCAAAGCATCTTGGAGGCGACGGAGGCTGGATTTGGAGGCTCTGGAGTCCCTGGGAGTGCGTTGACGAGCTCGTGCTTCCCCAGAAGGTGAGGGCCTCCAAGGGAATTGTAGACTCCAGGGGAGGGGGAAAGGGGAAGGGGTGAGAGCCAATCATCTCACACCCCATTTCGCCCCCAGCAAGCGGGGGTCGGGGGACTCCACGTCAAGGACTCCAGCTCCCTTGCTTGAGTGGCCGCCCACCAAGGACACTTGGAGTTAAACCCCAGCGCCCTCCTCCCTCCTCTCTCCTCCCTCCTCCTCCTCCTCCTCCTCCTCCTCCTCCTCCTCCTCCTCCTCCTCCTCCTCCTCCTCCTCCTCCTCCTCCTCCTCCTCCTCCTCCTCCTCCTCCCTTGTCAATACCAGACGCACGTTCAAGGCACGCGGCGGCACAATCAGGACCAGCATGCCGCACCGCACACCACCACTGGCAGAAGCCAGGGGCGAAGTGCACGCCGCGCCCGTCACGTTCAGCAAGCTCCTGTCGGCGGCGAGCCTGGGGGGAAGTGAGAAAGGGCGGGCCTCCTCACAAGGTTCGGAAGTCCCCTGGCCTTCTGAGAAGTATGTATAAAGATTTCCCCGAAGACACAGAGAGCCTCTCAGAAGGCCGCAAGCCTTCCGAGAAGCCCCGCCGCCGTCTGAGAAGGCCTTCTCCTCCGCACTCCCCCTCCCTCGCTCGACGCCGATCCCGTGCAGAGAGGGCGGATGGAAGTGAGCGGGGCAGCTCGCGTTCTTACTCCCAAGGCCTACAGTGGAAGCCCATGCCAAGAAGCACCCTGCTTGCTTCCAGGGTGCCCTGGGTTTCTTGCCGTCTTGCCATCTGATCGCCGTTTGGTTTTTCCCGACCGGTGCCCCGCCGTGGGGCAGCCTCGTGGGCGCCGTGGGCGTCCTGTCTATGTTGGCGGCGCGCACAAGGGGGGTAGGCGGGGGATGGGGGAGGACTTCTTGGAAGGAGGCTGCTTCTTAGAAGGCGCCGGCCCTACATCTTTAGCTAAGGCCCGCGCATTCTGAGAAGCAGTTGTGCTTCTAAGACGCCTTCCCCCCTCCCCCTCCTCCTGCTCCTGCTCCTCCTCCTCCTCCTCCTTCCGACTGTCTTCCTCCTCCCCCTCCTCCTCCTCCTCCTCCTCCTCCTCCTCCTCCTCCGCATCTCCCTCTCCTACTCCTCCTCCTCCTCCCCTCCTCCTCATCCTCCTTCCTCCTCTCTCCTCCTCCTCCTCCTCCTCCTCCTCTCCTCCTCCTCCTCCTCCTCCTCCCCCTGCTCCCCTTCTGCGCGTGGCTGTCTCTGGCCGGCGCTTTTCTGGGCTTTGGGATGCTTCCCGGCCGTGGGCGCCTCGTGGCCGCCCCAGGCTGCGGGTTGGGGGTCTCTGGGCTGCGGGTGGGGGCGCGGCCCGGGTCCCTCGTGGGCGCGCCGGGAGCCGGCGGGGGTTTTTGGGGGGGGCGCTTGCGCCCCGGCGGCTGGCCGTGGGAGCCTCGTGGGGGCGCCCCCTGTCGGCCTCACGAGGAGGAGGAGGAGGAGGAGGAGGAGGAGGAGGAGGAGGAGGAGGAGGAGGAGGAGGAGGAGGAGGAGGAGGGGGGGGAGGGGAAGGCTTCTCAGAAGCACCCCTGCTGCTCAGAAGGCGCGGGCCTTCTCGAAAGATGTAAGGCCGGCGCCTTCTAAGAAGCAGCCTCCTTCTCAGAAGCCTTCCCCCCTCCCCCTACCCCAATTGTGCGCGCCGCCAAACGGGAGCCTCGTGGGGGCCGTCCCCTGCGCTGGCCAGAAGGGCCGGGGGTTTTGGCGCGGCGGCTACTACTACGCTGCGACTGCAATCGCTGGTGGATGGCCACGACTACTAGCATGAGGATCGCTAGTGCCACCATCGTCCATCCTGGATCAGAGCTGATACAAGTGTCTGAAATAGATAGGCAGCACTCATGCAGAACATATGGCTTGAACTCCCCCCCTCCTCCCCCCAAATGCAATGTCGGTTTCGGATATTCCGGTTTCGGGCCTCTGAGTGGTCTTCAAGAAGCGTGCCAATTTTGAATTGCGGGGGAGGTGGGGAGTGTTGCTTAATTTGTTCCTTCATGGCAATCCCAGCCAGGCCCCTGATCGTCCCCCTCGTCCATGTCAGATGTTACTGTGCGGAGAATTCGCTCTTCCTGTGGATCTCCGATGGCCCCGACGGTGGCAGGGCACATCTTGGTCTCGCCTTCAGGGGATTTTCAAGAGCCCGCCTCTACTCGCTCCGAAGAGCAAGGGAAGGTGAGGTTTTTGATACATAGCGTGCTTGCGCTCGTGACATATGATTTTGCCGACTGCCCTCGGCAAAGCGAGCCTCACAAGTGCTTCACGTGCGAAGTATCCGTTGGCTCCCAGGTGTCCGACGTCGGTCAGCGCGGAACTTCCGAGACGCGCTGGCCCGGACCGCGCTCCGGTCTGCTCCGGCACCGACGTCTGGAGGTCGGACAGGGGGGTGGCACAAGGTGTGGTGCCATTCGTGGAAATGGCGCTGCTACAGTCGGCTTTGTTTAGTAGGTCGACCCTGTCAGATCAAGGGTGCCTTGCGACCCATGCCTTCTCGCATTCCTACTTCTGGCAATGTGGCTCTGGGAAGGGTCTCGTGTCTTCTCGCGCGTCCTCTCCAATCAAGTCCGACTGTCTGCGATCGGTAACCTCGCCAGGTCCAACATGGGCACCACACCCCGTCACACCACACCCCTCTTTTGCCTCCGCGGCTCCGCCTCGCCAAAGGGGCGTTCCAGGGAGTGCCCGGGTCTCCCCGCCTCAGCCGCCGCATGCCCGAGCTTGTTGGCCCCGAGAGCCAGGAGGAGGAGGGAGGAGGAGGAGGAGGAGGAGGAGGAGGAGGAGGAGGAAAGGAGGAGGAAATGAGGCGGAGGAAGGAGGAAGATGAGGAGGAGGAGGAGGAAAGAGGAGGAGGAGCAGGAGGAGGAGGAGGAGGAGAAGGAAAGAGGAGGATGAAGGAGGAGGAGGAGGAGGAGGAAAGGACGGAGGAGGGTAGGAGGAAGGAGGAGGAAAGGAGGAGATGAGGGGAGGGAGGAGGAGGAGGAAGAGGGAGGAGGAGGAGGAGGCGGAGGGAGGAGGAGGAGGAGGAAGGGGAGGAGGAGGAGAAGGAGGAGGAGGAGGAGGAGGAGGGGCCGAGGAGAAGTGACATTTCTCAGGGGCGCGTCAGAAGTTGTTTGAGGCATATAAATGTGACGAGGGCTTGATCGAGGGCCGGCCGCGCAGAAAGAATGCCAGGGCCATGTTGTCCCCATCGTACTTAAGGACCACATTTAAGTCGGGCCTGTCCCTTGACAGGGAGAATATTCAAAGATAGCCAAATAATAGTAAGGGGACGTTTTTTTTTTGACAAATTTTGAATATTGTTGGAATATGTTTGGGGTATGTTTTATTCTTCGTCCAAAATCCGCCTGTGGGGGACACGCCCGACCTAAGGCCACATCCCAGAAGCAATCTCGAACGCCCAGAAACGTATCGAAACAGTTTCGAACAAAAGTATCGCTTCCCAGGGCCCCACGCGTGAAAACCCTCCAGCTTCGGTACTTTATTGGTGCTCGAAATTCTTTTCAGCGATCAAGGCTAAAGTAGGTTGGACCATCATACTGCCAGGCCGATTGGCAATGACCAGTTAGCGGTCTCGGCGCAAGCGCATCTCGATGGCAGTCTACTGCAACTGCGGCCCCCAGGAGCATTCAGCCCAGACCCCCTCGCACTGTGAAAAAATCGCGACGGGAGGTGTTTCGCTATTTTCGGCCTCTGGGGGTTCTTCCCGGGCCCCAGGACCTTCAAAAAATGACTCAGGATGCAAAACCTGTCCTGGGGAAGGGGTCCAGACCACTGGGGGTCGACGTTGTGAAAAAAACACGACGTCGGAGGTCTGCGAGGATTGATTATTTCGCTCCGATTTGACCCGTACCGTAGTTGCTCAAGTAGTTGTTGGTTCTTAAATATGCGACGCTCGTTTCTGGTGGGAGAGACCACAACTCAACTGCTTGATCAACTACGGGTCCATTCCGAGTGTCACAGAAGCAATGTCGAACGCTCCAGGTGGCCGTAGTTGCTAGGAGATTGCAGTTCACGCGGCCTTGGTGGCACTGATACGTATCAAATCACGTAGGCTCCGCCCCCTTGGCGGGTCGCGTCGGCGCGAGCGGCAGCCTGGGTCAGAATCTGCCATCCGCCAGCCTGCACAGAAACGAGAAAGGAGAGACAGGCATCACGCGGGTTAAGTGAGACAGAGCAAATTCGACTTGAAGACGTTCGAAACGAACTCTCCCCTTCAAAATGAATCTTCAAAAGTCGCTATGTGCGAGTACTTGTTGGCGTCCGCTCTTCACTGTCGGTCATCGTGGCACTTCTGGCTCGCGCCGGCCAATACCGCGCTTCGGTGTGCTTCGACAGTCAGTAAGAAGGCGACATTGAAGGGCCGAGACGAAGCGATATTGAAGGGGTGCATCAAAAGTTTGTGATATCAGTTTTGCCGATGGTTGTAGCGTACGAGCATGTCGTACTAGTTCAATGTATTCACCCGCGCGCGCACCCGAGCCTGGTTCTCTTGCTCTGCGACCACTCTGCGACCATGTTTGTTCGGAGCACTGGCGCCAATGCCAACTTGCCAGTGCCCGCGCCTGTTTTTCGCAGTCCAACGTGTTTGCTGACGTGCGCGCGCGGAGGCCCAGCTTCTCCTGGCAGCGATCAGGTGCTCTGCTGCTCTTGCCATCGTCTGCCCCCCCTCCCGTTCCGGCGGCTGTCCCACTCTGCACGTCGAGCGGCGGTGGCAGGCGCGCCCGCGAAGCGGGCCGAGCGCCCGTCAGCCGCGGCTTCGGCCCCGCCCTCGGCGCGCCGCCGTGCTCTGGCAGGGAACCTGCGGGGCAGCGACAGGGGGGGGGGGGGGAATGGGCTCAGGTCGCGGGCCCCCAAACGGGGTGGTGACCACACCGTGTGGTGAGTCGGTGGGGATTCGGGGTCAGCGCACGGTGTTGGGGCTCGGGTCGTTCTCCGAGGACGTCCCGGGCGACTGGGGCATCCGAGGTCCCAAACCCGTGCGTTGACGGACCGTGCGGTGAGGTCTTGGGGGATTTCGAGGTCACCGCACGGTCTGTCACCGCACCGTTTCGGCACTCCAAGGATAGTCTCAGGGGGGAGCGCATCGACCCCCAATCGCCCACTGATGATCGCCGATAGGGGTCTGACACCGTGGTTTTAAAAAAACCAAAAACGTCTATCTCCAACGCTGGTTTTCAAAACATTGACATCGGGGCGGGGGGGGGGCGCTCTTGTGCCACCTTCTTGTCGTTGTACCTGGGCGTTTTGTTGTTGTTGTTGTTGATCCCCCCGTCCGGTGCACATTGTTTTTACCAACCCTCCTCGGTTGGGTTCTTGTTTTGAAGAGAGCAGTGGGGTCGCGTCTCCTCCTCCTCTTCTCTCCTCCTTCTCATCCTGCATCCTGTGTGCTCTCGTCTCCTCTTCTCTTGCCAGTGGGGCCTGCGACATGTGAAGCTGGCATGCCTGGGGGGCTGCGATTTGCGAAACTGTCGCCACTTTCGAGGGCCGCTGGGAGGGCCAGCATAGTGGGTACTTGCCGCAGACTCAGACTGTAGCGCGCCATCCCTTGGGGGTTGCGATCTGCGAAACGTGTTGCCACTTTCGAGGGCTGCTGGGAGGGCCAGCATAGTGGGTACTTGCCGCAGTTTCAGATTGTAGCGCGCCGTCCCTGGGGGGCTGCGATCTGCGACACTGTCGCCACTTTCGAGGGCTGCTGGGAGGGCCAGCATAGTGGGTACTTGCCGCAGAGTCAGATTGTAGCGCGCCATCCCTGGGGGGCTGCGATCTGCGACACTGTCGCCACTTTCGAGGGCTGCTGGGAAGGCCAGCATAGTGGGTATTTGCCGCAGACTCAGATTGTAGCGCGCCATCCCGAGGGGGCTGCGATCTGCGAAACTGTCGCCACTTTCGAGGGCTGCTGGAGGGCCAGCATGGTGGGTACTTCCCGCAGACTCAGACTGTAGCGCACCATCCCTGGGGGGCTGCGATCTGCGGAACTGTCGCCACTTTCGAGGGGTGCTGGGAGGGCCAGCATAGTGGGTACTTGCCGCAGAGTCAGATTGTAGCGCGCCATCCCTGGGGGGCTGCGATCTGCGAAATTGTCGCCACTTTCGAGGGCTGCTGGGAGGGCCAGCATAGTGGCCACTTGCCGCAGACTCAGACTGTAGCGCGCCATCCCTTGGGGCTGCGATCGGCGAAACTGTTGCCACTTTCGAGGGCTGCTGGGAGGGCCAGCATAGTGGGTACTCGCCGCAGACTCAGATTGTAGCGCGCCGTCCCTGGGGGGCCGCGATCTTCGAAACTGTCGCCACTTTCGAGGGCTGCTGGGAGGGCCAGCATAGTGGGTACTTGCCGCAGACTCAGACTGTAGCGCACCATCCCTTGGGGGTTGCGATCTGCGAAACGTATTGCCACTTTCGAGGGCTGCTGGGAGAACGCGGAGGACAAGGACGTGCTTTGGCTACATCTTTACGTGATGCTGTCCAGGGCGACGACGGTGGCCAACCTACGGATGGTGCGCCAACCCGATTTTGAGTTCCTATCCCGCGGCCCGCCCGCAGACCTGGCGGCGCGCCTGCGGGCGTGTAACTCCCGCAATGAAAAGTGCAGGAAGGAGGCGGAGAAGCTAGCGGGCGAGCTAGGCTTCGCCCGCTTTTTGCATTAACTATCATAATGACGCAGGCAGCGCTGCATCTTCAGCGCGCTGCTGGAAAACGCGTGGTCTTCTTTCTGTCTCACCTCTCTCGTCGTGGTCCTCTTCCCCCTGTGCCCTTTTCCCTGCTGCTGCGTCTTGCGCTGGTTTCTCGCTCGCGCCCGTTCCTCACACTTCCCCTGCCCCTCGTCCTCACCCCCGTCCTTCTTCGAGCGTAAACCCTACATTCTCGTCCATCTGATCGTTGCCCTCTGGGTCGTGCACTATATGCGCATCCCATCTAGCGTGCACGTACACATATATCGCGCTTGCACTGTCGTTCTTCACGACGATACTTGTCGATTCATCGGGCCACCTAATGCTAATGGGTTGGGTACGTCGCAGGGTAATTTTTTCGATTGAAGTGCCCCTCCCCGGGCTCGCACCCTGTTTCTATCAGGGAAAGTCTTGAGGGTCTAACTGCGTCGCTGGCCCCCGGTTTACAACAACAGCGGCTCCCACCTGAGACTTGTTCACAATTTAGCCAGGACCCCCGCTCCCGCCCGAGACTTCCTCGCGTTTTATTCAAGAATCGCGCTCTCGCTTGGGACTTCCTTAGAATCTATTCTCTCGGCGCTCTGCAGTCGCGTTCTCGCTGGACACTTGCTTGCAATTTACTTAGGAATAGCGCCCTTGCGTTGGAATTTCTTGTAATTTATTCAAGCGCAGCGCTCCCGACACCCGGGCACCCAGGAGTCGCGCTCACGCTTAGGACTCCCTTTCAGATTACATAGGAATCGGGATCTCGCTGCCCTTCGTGGCCCCGTTGCAGCCCTTCGTGACCCCCTCGCTTTGTTTCGTGGCCCCGTTGCAGCCCTTCGTTGCCCCCTCGCTGCCCTTCGTGGCCCCGTTTCAGCCCTTCGTGGCCCCCTCGCTGCCCTTCGTGGCCCCGTTGCAGCCCCTCGTGGCCTCCTCGCTGCCCTTCGTGGCCCCGTTGCAGTCTTTCGTGGCCCCCTCGCTTTGTTTCGTGGCCCCGTTGCAGCCCTTCGTTGCCCCCTCGCTGCCCTTCGTGGCCCCGTCGCAGCCCTTCGTGGCCCCGTTGCAGCCCTTCGTGGCCCCCTCGCTGCCCTTTGTGGCCCCGTTGCAGCCCTTCGTGGCCCCCTCGCTGCCCTTCGTGGCCCCATATATGTATGCCCTTCGTGGCCCCCGCTCCTTCGCGCCCGTGGTGGCCCCATATGCATCTGTCCTACGTGGCCCAGTTGCTACCCTCAGTGGCCCCATCGTTGCCTTCTGTGGCCCCGCATTATCTGCCCTTCGTGGCCCCCGCTCCTTCGCGCTCTTCGTGGCCCCATACGCATTCCCTTAGTGTCCCCGCTGTTACCCTTCGTGGCCTATTTCGTGTCCTTGTGGCCCTGCTGTCGTTTTTTTTCGCTCTCGCTTTCGCTCGTCGTCGTCGTCGCCGTCGTCGTCGTCGTCACCGTCGTCGTCGTCGTCGTCGTCGTCGTCGTCGTCGTCGTCGTCGTCGTCGTGGTCGGTCCCTGTCCGTCCCTCTTGGGGTCGGGTCGACGGTCCGCGGCCGCCCCGCCGATCAGCGCTGCCGCTGGCCAGGCCGCCGGCGCGGCCGCCCCGCCGCTTGCCGGGGCCGGGCCTGCAGGGAAGAAAGGTATACCCCCCAAAAGGGGTTCGATCGAAAACGAAGAGGGCGGGTATCGAGGGTTTGGGAAATAGGCGTTATTGGACACTCGAGCAGATAAGGGCGAACAGTCTTAATATGATTGTTGTTGTTGTTGCTGCTGTTGTTCCCTACCTAGGCTCTGCCTAGAAGGGTTCTTACCCTGTAAGCTTAAGGGGCCGGGCAGTGGAAACCGCCCCGGGCGGTTCCCCCGGCATCTGCCCCGCGGTTCCCCCAGTGACGTTCCCTTAGATTGGCGTTGCTTATCTCATCTTAGCGTAGCTCTTTTAATTTTAGCTTAGCTCAGCTTCATCTTATTTCAGGCGTATATTAGCTTAGCTTACCTTCGTCTTAGCTTCGCTGAACTTTAACATAGCAGAGCACAGCATAGCATAGCATAGCGTAGCATAGCATAGCGCAGCACAGCATATCATAGCATAGCCCAGCATAGCATAGCATAGCGAAGCATAGCATAATGGAGGATGATGATAAAAAAAATGACCGGGGGTCGTGTTCACGCGGCGGCGCCCGGGATGATGATTAGAAGAAACACGGCCCCGGGCTGGGAAACTATTTTTTTAATCGTCCCCCCCCCGCCGTCCTCGGGCGCGCGCCCCCCCCGCGGTGGAAGTTTCCCTGAGGTTCGTCACAGGGTAGCTCTGCCTGTGTGGTCGTCACAGGCGGGCGCTTTCTTTGACCCTCGTCAAGGGGGAGCGCTGCCTGCGTGGTCGTCACAGGCGTGCGCTTTCCTTGCGCTTCGTCACAACGGACAGGCGGGCGCTTTCCTTGCGCTTCGTCACAGGGGAGCGCTTGCTGTGTGGTCATCGCAGGCGGGCCCTGTCTTTGAGCCTCGACACAGGGGAGCCCTGCTTGTATGGTCGTCACAAAAGCGGGCCCTCTCATTCAGATTTCACACAAGGGGACGCTGCCTGTGTGGTCGCCACAGAAGCGGGCCCTCCCCTTGTGCCTCGTCACAAGGGAACGCTGCCTGCGTGGTCGTCACAGGCGGGTGCTTTCCTTGCGCCTCGTCACAGGGGAGCGCTGCCTGTGTGGTCGTCGCAGGCGGGCCTTTTTTTTGAGCCTCGACACGGGGAGACCTGCTTGTGTGGTCGTCGCAGGCCTTCTGTGACGACCGCACAGGGGAGCCCTGCTTCTGAGCGTTTCCCCCCCGGTGTGGGAAACTATTTGTTTAATCGTTCCCCCCTTTTTTTCTTAATCGTCATCCCACATTAGCATGGCATGGCATAGCGCAGCACAGCACAGCATAGCACAGCGCAACAGAGCATAGCATAGCATAGCAGAGCATCGCATAGCATAGCAGCAAATCAAAGGCAACACAACAGCAGCGACAGCACAACAAAGCATTAGCATGGGTGTAATTCCCTACCCAGGCTCTGCCTAGAGGGTTAGCTTAGCTTAACTTAGCTTAGCATAGCGCAGCGCTGCATTAGCATAGCATAGCATAGCATAACATAGCCAAGCATAGCATAGCATATCATAGCGCAGCATAGCATAGCATAGCATAGCCTAGCATAGTATAGCATATCATAGCATATCATAACGTAGCGCAGCTTAGCCTAGCATCGCATATCATAGCATAGCATAGCATCGCATCGCATAGCATAGCATCGCACAGCGCAGCATGACATAGCATAGCATAGCATAGCATAGCATAGCATAATATAGCATGGCATAGCATAGCATAACGCAGCATATCATAGCATAGCATAGCATAACATAGCATAGCATAGCATAGCATATCATAGCATAGCATAGCATAGCATAGTGCAGCATAGCATGGCATAGCATAGCATTAGCATAGCATCGCATAGCAATTCATGCTGCTTTCCTAGGGGCTTCAACTTCTAGGTAGGGTCGCACTGGAGTAATTGTTGCTTTCAAAAACGTCGGTTCCCCCCTCCCCCTCCGCCCAGGTCGGGAGCCTTGAGACGGGGGGTGTCAGCCAGAGCGCCCGATCTTGCAGGATCCTGCAGAGGCCAGGGTCGCACTGACCCGAGCTTGGGTACAGTATCCTGCAGGATTTTGCAGGATCCTTCGCGCTGACCCGGGCTTGGGAGCAGGATCTTGCAGGATCTTTCAGGATTTTGTAAGGCCTGACTAACCCGGGTCTGGATCGACCAGGGTCAGAAGATCTCCGCCCAAGGAACGCGGATCTTCGCCATCGGGGCTCTGTCTCGCCCTGATCCACTGGCGACACATCGCCGATGTCGGGTCGATGTCTCCCCCCCTTCCCCTCGGAGCTGGTCGCCCCCGCGCCCCCTCTGTCGCTGCACCTCTCGGGAGGGAAACAAAAAACACATGCACAGTGAATCGTCGATTCCCAGGGGGATAGTGGAAAATACCGGAAGTGGGCGGGGAGACGAAACTCCAGAAAAGAGTTGAAAACATATGGAATCCTGGGATTAGGTGTATTTATGTGTGTGTGTGTGTGTCCTGGGGCCCCTTTAACCTCACAACTCCGTCACACAAGCTGTTGCAGCTTTTCGGCGTCCAGATAGCTTCTCGAAGCGTCGGGCGGCTTCGAATGGAGGCGCTGGCAGGCGGCACGAGGTGGAGGGGGGTTCGGAGGCCTTCCCTGACGCATTCGACGCAATGCATTGCCGTGGTCGCAGTTTCTTCAGTTCCGAATGGTAGGCATCCCCATTCCTCTGAACATTCTCTGGCATTGTACTCGGCTTGCGGACTTCGGCGCCGTGGTAGGTATCTGGCTGATGCGTATGACTCTGTTGCCCCACCCTGGATCGAAACCAGTTCCGCGCCAAGCCATTCGAGATATTGAGCGGGATGCATCCCCGCGCCGAGCAGTTGAGGTTTGAAACGCGCTTTCGCCACGGGGGTGCGGGCCCCGCGAATCGATGCGCGAATCGCCGATGTCTCCGCCGCTTCGGCTGGTGGGATCGGACGTCGTGGCCAGAACCCGAAGCTGGCGGCCGCGCTCGTGATCGGAGCGCGGCGCATCTGCTGCCCTTGCCACCGCGATCGATGCTTTGTGCATTTCTCGTTTGGTTGCGGTGTTGTTTGTCCTCGTTTTGCGGTTGGATCCCAGAAATCCAGGGGACAGGGGGGGGAGAGGGGGAAGAGGGGCAGGAGTCCGACGAGGTAGGGTGTATAAGCAGGAGGAACAGCAAGAGGAATTCAAGGAATGACGACGACCATCATGATGCTGACGGGGATGATGGTGATGAGAATGATCATGATGATGTTGATGCTGATGACGAGGATTATGCTGATGATTATGATGATGGTGATGATATAGATGCCGACAATGGCGATGATGATGATGATGATGATGATGATGATGATGTTGATGCTGGTCATGATGATGATGACGACGATGATGTTGATGTGGTGATGGAGATGATGAGGACGACGATGATACTATGATGATGATGCTGATGCTGATGATGATGATGCTGCTGATGATGATGATGATGATGATGATGATGATTGTGGTGGTGGTGGTGGTGATGGTGGTAGTGCTGATGACGAGTATGAGGCTGACGAGGCTGAGGATGATGATGAGGAAGGGAGGAGGAGGAGGACGAGCAGGAGGAGGAGGAATATACTTCGAAATAGGACTTGGAAGGAGAGAGGATGGGGATTAGGAGGAAGCGGAGGATGAGGATGAGCAACGGAGGAGGATGAGAAGGGATGAGGAGGAGGAGGAGGAGGAGGAGGAGGAGAGGAAGCAAGAAGAAGGAAGGTCAGAGGAGGAGGGAGGAGACGGCGAGGGATCATAGTGGTGCTCACGAGGAAGAAAGAGGCCAGAAGGAAGACGGCAGCGGAGAGGAAAAAATGCTAGGGGATGAGCAGGGATGATGACGATGATGATGAGGATGGTGATGATGGTGATGGTCATGCTGATGAATACAATAATTATGATGATGATGCTGATGTTGATGCTGATGATGGTGATGATGATGCTGATGGTGATGATGATGGTGATTATGATGATGCTGCTGTTGATGATGATGCTGATGATGATGATGATGCTGATGATGCTGATGATGCTGTGGTGGTGATGATGGGGATGTTGATGTTGATGATACGTACAATGTTGATGATGAAGGTAATTGTGGTTGCTGTGGTGGTGATGATGATGATCGTGATGGTGGTGATGGTGATGGTGACTGTGATGGTGATAGTGACGGTGGTGCTGTTGAGGATAAAGATGATGGTGATGAGTGTGATGATCGTGCTTAACGCGATCATTGTGATGATGGTGATGATGGTGATAGTGGTGATGCTGGTGATGCTGATTACCATGGTGATCATGATGATCATGGTGATGATGGTGATGATGGTAGTGATGGTGATTGTGATAATGGTGATCATGATGGTGATGCCTGTGATGGTGGCGATGGTGATGTTGACGGTGATGTTGATGGTGATGGTGATGAGGACGATGAGAATGATGCTGTCGATGATGCTGATGATGATGGTGGTGATGGTGATGATGGTGATGATGATGATGATGATCCTGATGCTGATGGTGGTGATGATGATGACGCTGATGATGATGAGGGTGATGATGAGAATGATGATGATGTTCCGAAGAGAAAGGAGGAGGTAGAGGAGGAGGAGGAGGAAGATAATGAGAAGGGGGAGGAAGGAGGAGGATGAGGCGGAGTCTTGACGATTTTTTATCGTGCCAGAAAGCCATTCTTGGGACTTCGACATCGCGAGCCAACATAACTGTTGCATCCTCATAATCGTGAATCTCTCCAAAGCTCATGTCTGGTACGTTGGCCATGGGAACCCGCCGAACTCCTGCAGTTGTTTAAGGAACATGCGCGGTGCCAAGGGGAGAGCCACAGTTTGAAAACGAGATGTTTAAAACGAGTGCGCGCGGCGCTAAGGCGAGAGCCACATTTAAAAAGACTACCCGCCCTCAATCCGTGAAACGCTTACAAGTTGTTGACACGAATGTGCGCGGCGCTAAGGCGATAACCACATATTGACAACGGCCCGCCCTCAAATTGTGAAGCTGTTGCCAATGTTTGAGCTTCTGGGTCGTAAGTGGTGAGGATGTCATTCTCAGGCGGAACGCCCGGCCCGCCCTTTCGACCAGCCTTGGGGTGCGACAGGGAGGATTTAATGGAGGAGGAGGAGGAGGAGGAAGACGAGGAGTAGGAGGAGTAGGAGGAGAAAGAGAAGGAGGCTGATGGATGAGGAAGGGGAGGAGGAGGAGGAGGAGGAGGAGGAGGAGGAGGAGGAGGAGGAGGAGGAGGAGGAGGAGGAGGAAGAGGAGGAGGAGAGGAGGAGGAGGAGGAGGAGAGGAAGGGAGGAAGGAGGAGGAGAGGAGGAGGAGGAGGAGGAATAGGAGGATTTTGTTGGATTCTTCTGGCCTGACCTCCGAAGATGCGGAACACGCACAACGGCGGCGAAACCGAGCCTGCCGCCTACCCCCAGGCCTCTCCTGGGCGACAGGGCGGAGACTCCTGAAGCGCACGCGGCCGAAACATCGACCACCGCGTGACTGACGGCGGCGGCGCGCTCCGCGCGCCGCCGCAGGGCCCCCGGCCTCGCCCCGGCGGGGGGGTGAACCGCCGTGGGAGCTGTGAGCCCCGGTGGGAGGAGAGCAGACGAGAGGGGGAGGCGACGAGGAGAAGGGAGAGAAGAGGAGGGGATGGGCACAGTCCCACAGCAGCCAACCCCCTCCCCTGGGGGAGGCACGACCTCTCCCGCCTCCGCCAGTCCTGCGGCCTGGCCCCCGGCTCTACTTATACCCCGCCGACCCGGGCGGCGCCGACCGCCCCGCTGGTTCCGCCGGTGGGGGGTGCCCCGGCTATCCCCGAGTCGATGACGGGGCTCCTGTTATCCAAGCAGGGGGGGGCAGAGGAGGAGGAGGAGGAGGAGGAGGAGGAGGAGGAGGAGGAGGAGGAGGAGGGAGGGAGACGACGACGAGGAGGAGGAGGAGGAAGGAGGAGGAGAGGAGGAGGACGAGGAGGACGAGGAGGAGGGGGAGGAGGAGGAGGAGGAGGAGGAGGAGGATTGGAGGAGGAGGAAGGAGGAGGAGGAGGAGGAGGGGAGGAGGAGGAGGAGGAGGAGGAAGAGGGGGGGGGAGGAGGAGGAGGAGGAGGAGCAGGAGGAAGAGGAGGAGGAGGAGGAGGTAAGGGCGAGGACGGAGACCAGGACGAGCACGAGGGGGGAGGACGAGGGCCCGGGGCCGCGAGTGCCCGCGCGACCGGCCGCGCACCAAGGCTCCGCAGAACGCCTCCAGACACGCGGCGGGCCGCTGGAGCTGCCAGAGGCGGGCAGACCAGCATCCAGAAGCAGAGGGATGGCTGGAGGAATGGCTGGAGGGGGAGGGTGGGGGATGGCTGGGGGATGGCTGGAGGGAGGAGGGGGGGACTGAGGGAGGGATGGCGGGAGGTAGTGAGCGAGGGCGAGATAGAGAGGGAGGGATAGGGAGGCGGCGGCGGAGCAGGAGGAGGAGGGGGCGAAGGTTGGGGGAGGGGATGGGGGAAGGGGAGGATGAAGAAGGATGAAGAGGAGGAGGAGGCGGAGGAGGAGGTGGTTGTCGGATAGGGGGGCGGAGGGAGGAGAGGGAGAAGAGCGAGGAGAGGGAGATGATGATGATGATTATGATGATGATGATGATGATGACGGTATGATGGTGATGATGCTTTCGTTGCTGGTGATGATGGTGATGGTGATGCTGGTAATGATGATATGAAGGTGATGATGGTGGTGATGACGCTGATAATGATGATGAGGATGATTATGATGGTGGTGATGATGATAACGATGAGGATGATGTTGAGGATGAGGAGGATGAGGAGGATGAGGACAGGGATGAGGATGAGGGTGCTGATGATGATGATGGCCATGCTGATCAGGACAAGGATCATGACGATAATGATAATGATGATGAGGATGACGACGGCAATGGTGCTGGCAATGGTGACGGTGATGGTGATGGTAACCAGGATGATGATGATGGTGTTGATGGCGATGGTGGTCATGATGGTGGGTATGATGATGAGGATGAGGACGATGACGATGGTGGTGTTGGTGGCACACATGACAGGGTACACAGGTATCCACGTGGCCGCACCTTTGACAATGATGATGGTGGTGGTTGTGATGACGATGATGGTGAGGATGCTGCTGCTGATGATGATGAGTATGATGATGATGCCGACGGCAATGCTGAAAATGCCGATGGGACTGAGGATGAGGATGAGGATGATAATGATGATGGCCATGCTGATCATGATGATCATATTGCTGGTCGTTATGATGATGACGATGCTGATGACGATGCGGATGAAAAGGATGAGGATGAGCATGAGGATGAGCATGAGGATGGGGACGAGGATGAATACGAAGATGAGGATGAGGAAGAGGAAGAAGAGGAAGAGCAGGATGAGGAGGAAGAGGATGTTGATGATGATGGCATGATTGGTGAGGATGAGCATACGGAGGAGTAGGACGAATTGGATGCTGATGATGGTGATGATGCTGAAGATTTTTGATGATGATGCTGATGGTGCTGACGATACTGATGATGATTGATGATGCTGTTGATGCTGATGATGATTATGAGGATGAAGATGTGGATGTGGATGCGGATGATGAGGATGAGGATGAGGAAGAGGATGAGGATGAGGCTGATGATGCTGATGATGCTGATGATGCTGATGATGAAGAGGAGGATGATGCCGAGGATGATGAGGATGATGCTGATGATGATGTTGCTGATGATGATGCTGCTGATGATGATATGATGATGATGGTGATGATGATGATGATCATGAGGATGAGGATGAGGATGATGGGTACTTTGGTGTTGCTGCTGCTGACAAGGAGGAGGAGGAGGAGGACAGGGGCTGAGAGCAGACATGGATGGATTCAGGCCTGGGATAAATTTTGTTTTCTTCTCCTCTCCGCGAATCGCATGCTTTGGTCGACTCTCTCGCGAACCACATTGATCTCCATCATCCGTTGGAGCATAGCACGGATAAGAGCAGTAAGGGGGAGGGGGAGGAGGAGTGGAGCAGGGGCGGAGATGGGAGAGTGTATGTGACAGAGATTGCGTACGATAGAACAGGCACCTCCACTCAACGCAAGTCCTGCACTGTTGGCCCCACCGCAACAGATTCGCTTGCACCACTCGCGGTGAGACTGAAGCAGTTGACGCGAGGCACCTGACCTCGGTTGGCATTAGCCACCGATGTGAAAAGGGTACAAAGAATCAGAGAATCTCCAGGCGATCGCAAACATGGATCAAGGGGGCGTGGACTAGCGACGGGCCCCGCTTCCAGGGGACATCTCGGATCTCCGCCGCCGAGCGAGGCGGCGCCGGCCGCTTTTTTGGGGAGGGCACCTCCCGATCCGTGGACTCGGCGCCCGCGCGCCAAAAATCCATGGATCGCTAAGTCCAGGGCGTGCGCCCACGCAGGTACCGTCTTCTCGCGAGCCGCCCCGCACCGTGGCAGCAGCTGATTTTCTTCCCTGGCAGGGCGAGGAGGCGCAAGGCCCTCCGCGCACGGCCTTGCCGGTGGTCCCTGAAGGAAGGTCGCCGCTGGACTTGCGCACACCATGACGACTCTTATGGCGTTCATGTGTTGCTTTCTTTCTCAGTTTTTTGCCCATCTTTCTCTCTCACTCCCTCCTTCTCTCTCTCTCTCTCTATATATATATATTAATATACACGTATATGAGTGTAAGTGATGTGTTTGCCTGCCTCTCTATCTCTCGTTCTCTTCCCCTCTCTGTTTTCCCATCTCTATCCTTGTCTTTTTTTTGTTTTGCTGTTTTTTGATTATGTCTCTTTCTCTCTCCCACTCTCTCACACCCACCTTCTTTCGCGGTGCCCTGCCCCACCGCTCCCTTCGTGCCAACGTTGCTCTCGCTTCTGAGAGATGTGCACAGCCGTGTGGCGGGGTTCCGGGGCCAACGGGGATGGGAGTGCTGCGGAAGAGGGCCCCGGCGGGACAACGCACCAGCGAGGGATTCGAGGGCGGCCAAGAGGGGGGTGATGACTGGGGGGGGGGGGGGATATCATGACGGGGGCCATGGTATCTCTCGAGGTTTCATGGCGCTCCTTCTTATTTCAATACGTTCCCTGGCCCCGCCCCCCCCCCTGGCCCGCGCACATGCCGCCGGTCATGATTTGCACCCCCCCCTCTTGGACGCCCCCCTCGTGGCCGCCCCCGAGGGATGGCACGGACGCGGGCAGAGTGGGTACACAGTCGGACCGAGTTACACGATCGGGGTCGGTTCGGGGAGGGTGCCCCACCGTCCTTCGTGTCCGTGGGATGTTCTGGCGCCTCCTGGGGAGGGTGCCCTTTGACGCTCTGCGCGTGTGGGCCGGCGGAGGCTCGCGCTGTTGAGGGATGTGCTTCTGTCCTACAAGACTCGTCAAACATGAATTGACGGTTCTTGTTTTCGGTGCTTGCGTGGTCGGTGCTACTTCAATGTTGGCATGAGGTATTCGGCCCAGACGCAGGGGTGCCCGAAAGCTGACAGCACCTTCACAGCATTGAAGAACGCGTGTTTTGACAAGTGCCCGAATTATCGAGCGCTTCGATCTTGAAGAGCGTTTCGATTTATTTTTGACGATGCTTGTGGGTCCGGCTGTACTCCTGCTGCGACCCGATGCCCCCGCGGTCGGTGCTTTTTGCGGCGTCCGCGTGCCATCCTCCCCCTCTCCGAGCGCGTGCTACCTCTTCTCGGCTGCGAGCCCGGAGGGAAGTGCGAAGGGGCGGGCCTGCTCGGAAGGCTCGGAAGTCCCCCGTCCCTCCAAGAAGTTTTCTGAGCCTCTTCACCGAAGATCAGAGGAGGAAAAGGTACCCATGCCTCTACCCCCTCGCCCGTTTTCCCCTTCTAGGGCCTCCTGGGAGGCCCGAAATCCTGGTCAGAGCGCACCCTGGGAGAGGTCCGGGCGATAGCGGTATCGGTACCTTTCGGCTTTCCCCAGGAAAACCTCCCAGAAGGCGCGAGGGCTTCTGAGAAGCCCCGCCGCCTTCCGACGGGGTCTTCCCCTGCTCGCCGCCGACTCTTCGCTCGCTGTTGTTCGCTCTCGCGGCTGCCGCAGTCGCCGGGCCCGGCGCAGTACGGCGTCCCGCGCCACTACGACGCTACTCCGGAGCGGCCCCCGCCCCGCGTGCCGCGGGGCCGAGAGAACCCCCTTCTCGGGCCTCCGCCCTTGGCTTCCCGCATGCGCCTCGCTCCGCTCCCCCATTCGCTGTATTTCTCTCCTCCCCGCTCTCTCCTCTTTTTTTGTTGCTGTTTTTGTTGCTTCTCTCTCTCTCTCTCTCTTTTTCTTGTTTTCTTTTTTCTTTTTCTTTTTTTCTCTCTCTCTCTCTCTCTCTCCCTCTCTCTCTCTTCACTATTTATGTCTCTCTCTGTCTTTATTTATGTATGTGTTTCTCTCTCTCTCTCTCTCTCCTCCTTCCCTCTCTCCTCTTGTTTTTGTTTGTTTTGCTTTCTAGTTTGTTTAATGCTTTCTACCGCTCTCTCTTTCTCTCTCTTTCTCTGTTTCTTTCTTTCTTTCTTTCTTTCTTTCTCTCTCTCTCTCTTCACTATCTCTCTCTCTCTTTCTTTATGTATGTACGTGCTTCTCTCTCTCTCTCTTTCTTTTTCCTCCTTCCCTATCTCCTATTGTTGTTGTTTGTGTTGTTTCTAGTTGTTGTTGTTTTTTTTTCCTCTCTCTCTCTCTCTTTCTCTCCTTCCCTCTCTCTCTATTCCTCTCTCTTTCTCTTTCTCTCTCTCTATATCGGGAGTTGATGGAATCCCAGCCCTGCCAAGAGTCGGTTAAAGCGAGTTGCCCTGTCTTCTCGGTTCTCGAGAGGGTTTGTTGCGGCTGCAGTGTTTGTGTGCGGGCCTGCGCCTACCCGCTGGGGGTCTGGTCCCAGGTTGTTTCTGTTCGCCAGAGGGCGCTGTTCCAAAGGGGGTTCTGCCCACCCTTCCCCCCCCCCCCTCCTCCACTCCTTTTCCTTATGAGTACTCTCTCCCCGTCGCACCCCGAGGCCGGTCGAAAGGGCGGGCCAGGCGTTTCGCCTCAGCCTTTTTCACCATTTATGACCCTGAAGCTTAAACATTGGTAGCAGCTTCACAGATGGAGGGCGGGTCGTTTTCAAAATGTTGCTCTCGCCTCAGCGCCGCGCACATTCGCTTGTATGAAGTTGCAAGAGCATCACGGATTGAGGGTGGTCGTTTTCAAAATGAAGCTCTCGCCTTAGCGCCGGGCACATTCGTTGTGAAACGTTGCAAGAGTTTCACGGATTGAGGGCGGATCGTTTTCAAAATGAGGCTCTCGCTTTAGCGCCGTGCACGCTCGCTTGAAAACGTTGCAAGGGTTTCACGGATTGAGGGCGGTTCCTTTTCACGATGTGGCTCTCACTTTAAGCGCCGCGCGCATTCTTTTTCAAAGTCTGCAAGAGTTTGGCGGGTTCCCATGGTCAACGTACCAGGAATAGTGTTTAGGAAAGAATCAGGATTATGAGGGTGTGTGCAACAGTTGTGTTGAATCGCCGTGTTGAAGTCCCAGAATTGAAATGGCGTTCTGGCACGACTCAGGATCGTCAAGGCGCAGCAGTCGGGTTGATCCGTGGCATTGGAGCCCCGAGAATAATATTTTGGCATGCTTCAGGGTCTTCAAACGGTTGTCTTCCAAAGAGGCAGCGTCCTCAGTGGATTTGAACCGTTGTAGGGGCATATGAAGATGGAGCTTGGAGAGAGGGTTTCTTCCAACATTGTTGATGACTCTTCGGTTCACATTGGTCCTCCTACTCCTCTTCCTCCTTCTCCTCCGCCTCCTCCTCCTCCCTCCTCCTCCTCCTCTCTTTCCTGCTCCTCCTCCTCCTCCTCCTCCTCCTCCTCCTCCTTCTGCTCCTCCTCCTGCTCCTCCTTCCTCCTCCTCCTCCTCCTCCGTATTATTATTATTCCTACCTCCTCCTCCTTCCTCCTCTCACTCCTCCTTCGCTGCTTCCTCCTCCTCCTCCCCTCCTGCTCCTCCTCCTCCTCCTCCTCCTTCCCCCCTCCTCCTCCTCGTCCTCTTCCTCCTCCTCCGCCTCCTCCTCCTCGTCCTCGTCCTCCTCCTCCTCCTCCGCCTCCTCCTCCTCTCCTCTCCTCCTCCGCCTCCTCTCCTCCTCCTCCTCCTCCTCCTCCTCCTCTCCTCCTCCTCCTCCTCCTCTTCTCCTTCCCCTCCCTCCTCCGCCTCCTCCCTCTCCTCTCCTCCTCTCCTCCCTCTCCCTCCTCCTCCTCCTCCTCCGCCTTCTCCTCCTCCTCCGCCTCCTGCTCCTTTTCCTTCTCCTCCTCCTCCTACTCCTTTCCTCCTCTTTTCTCCCCTCCTTCCTCCTCCTCCTCCTCCTACTCCTCCTCCTCCTCCTCCTCCTCTCTCCCCCCCTCCTCCTCCCTCCTCCTCCTCCTCCTCTCCTCCTTCTCCTCCTCCTCATCTCCCGTCCTCCTCCTCCTCCTCCTCCTCCTCTCCTCCTCCTCCTCCACCTCCTCCTCCCTCCTCCTACTTCCTCCTCCTCCTCCTCCTCCTCCTCCTCCTCCCGTCCTCGTCCCTCGTCCACGTCCCCCTCCTCCTCCTCCTCGTCCTCTTCCTCCTCCTTCTCCTCCTCCTCGTCCTCCTCCTCCTGTTTCTCCTCCTCCTCCCTCGTCCTCCTCGTACTCGTCCTCCTCCTCCTCCTCCTCGTCTTTTCTCTCCCTCCTCCTCCTCCTGCTCCTCCCTCCTCCTCCTCCTCTCTTCCTCCATCCTCCCCTCCTCCTTTCCTCCTCCTCCCTCCTCCTGCTCCTCCTCCCCCTCCTCCGCCGCCTCCTACTCCATTCTCCTCCTCCTCCTCCTCCTCCTCCTCCTCCTCCTCCTCGTCGTCCTCCTCCCTCCTCCCTCGTCCCTCTTCCTCCGATTCTTCTCAGGAGCGAACGAAGGCCGTACACGTACGCGAATCCACTCGAAGAAGAAAACACAACATAAACATATTTTTGTTGGCGCTCCGCGCGGATTTCTTGGATACGCGCTGGGCCACCCCAGCGGCGCCTCCGGCGCCGCCCATGGCGCTCTCCGCGCGCCAGGGAGAGGGGTCCAGCGCAGATCCAAGAAATCTGCGCGGAGCGCCAAAAGTTGTTGTTTATGGCGGTGTTTCTTCTTCTATCCACGTTGGTTTCGAGAGTACGCCTTGCGCGACCGTTCGTATCACGCGGCCGATCTCGCGGATTGGGGAGCCGTGTTGGTGTGAGTGGTTGGGTGCGTACGTCCTTTGTAGGCTCCCTGTCCCCTCTCTCGCAGACAATCGTGGCGCCATTTTCAGGCAGCCCATGCGCTTCTGAAAGGCCGTCTGTGCTCCGTGAGCTTGCCATTCGGCCTTCAGCCCGCACCCGACGAGTCTCGCCGCTCTCCCTGCTCCCTGGCCAGCCCGTTT